AAATTATTTCCTTCTCACTGCCACCCATTAAGGCAGCATCCTTTTGTCCCGATCAGCAAGAAGGAAAGCGGGCCGGGCACCGTTTTCACGCAGGCAGTTTAAATCCGTCTCCAAGGCAAAGTCTAAAAGCTGCTTCAGTAAAAAAGGGGGGGGGGGGGGGGGGGGGGGGGGGGGGGAATCCCCACACTTCCACAGGCCACAAACAGCACCCCAGAGGTTCAAGGGTGCACTTCATCATGATAAAACGGGGTCACACGGCTGTGTTCACGGGAGATCGGAACCCAGGCCCCCCTCGCCCACGGCCTCCCCCTCCACTACACCTTTCAACTTGCATTTTCTCCAGAACCACCCTTTTTGGAGAACGCTTAACCGCCTGGCAAGACTGCCACAATCCTGGCATTCTTCGTCACTGGAGATGAGGAAAGGGCCACTGAAGGGGGGGGGGGGGGGATACAAGTAACACGGATATTGTTCCCTCCACCAGTGCGGGAGCAAGACTTGGCATTGAAGTTTCCGGCTCTCCAGTGATGCTGGGTATATTCCGGGCAAAATTCGGAACGGAGCGTGCCTCTGAGTGGCCGCGCTGTTCTGGCCCTGCCAGGAGTGGCTGCCTGGGGCCCCCGAAAGATTCATAGGGGGGGACATCAGGAGCAAGGGTTATTCACCCAACCCTCTCCAACCAAGCCGATTTGGTAGCATCCTCTACGCTCTCTGCTCCTTCTTTAAAGAAAAGAGTTATGAAGTTATTAGAGCATGGACAAAGTGCCTTTCCCCTCAGGACTGAGCCCTCCCCTTGGAGCCCTCCAGAGACCCTTTTTTTTAAAAAAGAGAGTTTTGTTCGTTTACATATAGAAAGGGGGAAAGGGAAAAGAAGGGAGGGAGGAGAGTACAGAGTTGTATAAAAAAATTCCAAATTGGCATTCTGCATGTAAAACCTCTCCAGAAAGTTTCACAACTAGGGCTCATTTCCTGCAGGAGCGCACAGGAGCCCAGGGGGCGGGCACATGCAACAAGCCCCACCCCCTGCTCCCAGCAACCCTCAGTTGGGCCTCGAGGAGCAAGAAGCAGCCAGGTAAGTTGCAGAGTTCCCCCCCCCCGGCCCGCCTTCAGGTACAAGCTCTCCCTCCTCTGTGAGGGCAGATCTGCACGTTTCCCCCCCCCCAATAGCTAGCAATCCAAAACAGTCCAATGGAGCCTGAGCGGTGGGTGTTGCCTTCTGACACACTTCCGGTGATGTCAGGGGGTGTGGCATATGCAAATAAGGTATGCTAATAAGTTATGCAAATGAGCTCCTGCACCTCTTTTTCTACGAAATGACCCCTGATTATACCCATTAGTTGCTGTAGGTTTTCCGGGTTGTGTGGCCGTGGTCTTGGCATCGTAGAACCTGACACTTTGCCAGTAGCTGTGACTGGCATCCTCAGAGGTATAACACAGAAAGATGGACACA